TATAACCAATAAGAATATAAGATTTTAACAGCACATGACTTTATGATTTAGTGAAAATCTAAATCATAACAATATTAGACCAATAGAATTTAAGTGATATAGTAAATATAAATTCATATAGCTGATAAATTATATCTTGAATTTATATAAAAACAACATGTATCATAGTTATTAGAATTAGATATGAACAAGTCCTTTTAGATAGTAATTCCCAATTATCATATCTAATTAATTATCATGTAGTTTTGATTGTTCAAAGAAAAGTAGTTTGTACTTTATGTAGAGTAGGTAGTCAAATGCAAACTTCTCTTTACACCCTTTTGACAAAGTATTCATTTTCTTGTATAATCACTTTATAAGAAGTTATATAAACCTTGAATCAATATATATTATAATAGCTTAAGCAAGATTACCAGGAGCATTATAAAAGTTATCATCTTTATTTTAGATTTTTTGAACACATTATAATGAAGTCTATTAAATATTATATTAAATAAAGAAAATATTATTATAATTCATAAATCTGTCTTTGAGATTGTATTACTAATAATATATTATTCATAAACTTACCTTTAACTTTGTATTACTAATAATATATTGTTCATACATTTATATTTGATCTCATATTACTGATAATATGAATATTATAATCTCTATAACTTTGACTTTGAGATTTTGAAAACTCTTTTTAGCAGTTCAATTATTGCATTAAAAGAACACAACTGTTATCAATCTTTAAGTGATTTTTATAAATACTTATTGTACTTTAATTTATATTCAGTCTAAAGTTATAAAGTATTATTAAGATTGTAAATTGTCATTAAAATATTTGAGTTTTCCCTTTGAATATTATAAATACCCTTGAGTATTTCAAAGCTTCATCAAAATGGTAACAATATTATATTTTTAACTGTAATTTGATAATATCACTATTTACTATTATTTCTGCTTTTATATTTTAACTGAAATCTTTTGATTAACTACCAAATTATTTAATAAACTATATATTCAAAATCCAAATATTAAATTAATTATAAACTCTCAAAGCTTTCAATTTATTAATATTAATAATGAAAGTTAAGTTATAAAAAAAATATTTAACTAACAATTTCAAAAGAAAAAAATAAAATTTATATGACTGATTTTGAACAAGAAATTATTAATAGAATTATAAAAGCAAGCACTGGATCAAAAATATTATATTCATCAAAATTGACAATAAATGCAAATATATTAATTGATTATAATGAACTATTTAGTTATATCCATTATTCAATCACATTTTTATATTATAAAATTGAAAAAGTATTAACTAAAATAATTACTAGAACTCATATTCAGAAAATGATAGATGTCCAAAAAATCTTTAAATAATATATAGTAAACAAAAATATTAAATAACAAGTAGTATTATCATTTATAATATATAATTATTTTAGAAATAACTTTCACTTTATTAATTATCAAGAATTAGATCAGCTACTTTTTCCAAAAAATAAGTCATAAAATCAGTAATAATCTTTAAAAACACATAGAAAATTTATTTGAATTTATTAATAGTATTTTATAAGTAGTTATAGAAGACTTAGAAGTAATATAACTTATTTATAATTTTATTTTATTTATTTTTAAATTCATTTTATTTTATTTACTTTATATTTTAATTTTATGAAGTAAAATCTTTAACTTTAAGAAATCTGTTGTGATATGAATTTTTATAATTTCTCATAGTTAATTTTGATTGAATAATTAATTTTTATATGATTTATAAATTATATTCATATTTATTTCATATTATTCATATTTTATTTATATTATTTTTATTATATTTCATACTATTTTATTTTTTATTTCATATTATTTTATTTTTATTATATTATTATTTCTATTTGCTACAGTGTAGTCACACTCTATTAATTCATATTATTATTATTATTATTATTATTATTATTATTATTATTATTATTATTATTATTATTATTATTATTATGAAAAGCACATGTTAATCAATTTACATAATCAAATTTGATTGATATTAATGATAAAATTTATGTAATATTAGAATGAGTGATGTATAATCATTAAGTGAGCGAGTGATGCGCAACCATCAAGTGAGCACTTTTTGTAACCTTAATATCAATCAAAAATAGCTTTAATATTTGAAGGTCAAGTAACAATAATTTGTATAAATATAATATATATCTTAGCTTAGAAAAATAATCTTTTCATAGATTAGAATCTTTTTAATTAGAATCTTTTTATCTTTTAATTTTCTTTGACAAAATCTTCTTAGAAGTGAGTTGTATTATAAGTTTTGAGTTGGAGATTTTCAGTCAAGCATTAATTACCCTTTTCTTTCTTATTTGTATTCTTTATTATTTAAAAGACCTCTTGTTTGTAACAAGCAATGTCATCTATAATAATATAATTAACTTTTCATTATTATTCTGTGAAGTTGATTAATATTATTTAAATTTATAATTAAAGAAGAAAATAATTTTAATAAAAGTTAATCAATAAAAGAAAATTACTTAACAATTAAATCATTTGAATTAAAAGAAGATTTCTGAACTTATTCTAGCAGTTCAACAAAATGAACACATCGTTACCTACCTTTATTAAATTAGTCTCTCCCAACTTATTTATTTTAAACACACAAAAATCTTAAATAACTCTCTTATTTAATTGAAACACGTAAAAAACACATGATCTATACTTGAAAGTTAATAAATCAACGAAAATGGTAATAGTATTGCAAATTTACAAACTCTTATAATACGAATTATTTTTTAATATACTTTAGTTCTTATTTTTTTTGTAATCAAAGAATTTAGACTATGATCAAGATAATATTGTATTATAGAATAATAATCTAACTAGATTCATATAAATCTTATTCTTTAATAAATTCACTATATCTTTGTTATAATATAAAATCAGTAAATACAATATTATTAGAGATATTCAAAAAGAAACTTTTTCTTTTCTTTTATTTAGCATGAAATCTTGAACTAAACCAAATTCTGGAATATTTTAATGATTATTTAATATTGTTTGTTTTTTTATATTATATAACAAATTACATATTTTTTTCAGAATGTCATGATTTTTAACTTCAGCTCTAGTTTTTCGTAATTGAATTAATATAATTAATTATTTAACCTTTTAACTAAGAGATCAGTTACTAATTAACTGATATACTTACCAAATGCACACATTCATTTGCAAAGCAAGGTAATTAAAATATAATGAGAAAATTCTTTTCAGTTACTATATTTTAACATGTAAAATTAATTATTAATTTGCTATTATTTATTTGTAAAGAATAAACAAATAAATAAATATTGAATACACAATTGAACTAGATTTATTCTAATTTATTAACAAATTTATTATTTGATATAGTTTAATAACAATATATTGTATCATTAAATTGGACTAAACTGAACTGAACTTATTTCAATTCATTAACAATATGCTGCACTATTGAATTAAATTGAATTGAACTGGATCTATTCCAAGTTTTAGTTTATTTAAGTCCAATAATTTGTTAAGATTGAACTAAGTCCAGTAATAACACTATTTTTGAGTTAATAAAAACACATAAATAACTTAAATTCTATAAAAATAATAATAATATCAAGCATAAATTTATATATAATAAAAAATCTAATAATATATGTAGATAAAGAAAAAATTAGAAAAATATTTTTTGTAAAGTATAATACTTTTAATTTATTATAAATTTAATAATTTTCATAATAACAAAGATTATTGTAATGACAAAAAAAGATATCCAATCATCAAATAATAGGACACGTGTATCATGTGATTCAAATACGCCACAATTTCACGTGTTCAGGAATTCCCAATCCCAACCCTCGATGTCCATCATCGTCGAACCGGATCGGACGTCGATCTGGTCCGTTTTTGCTTGACATAAGAGTATTCTAAGGGTATGATCATGATTGACCAATCTCATGTTATTTGTCCCACTGGCCATCGATCATATGAAAATAGTCAAAAGTTTTAAAAAGGGGGCTTTCTTTTTAAAGACGACTAATTTTATTGGCGTCTTTAAGTGTCCTGCACTGTACAATCACGGTTTTTGCAATCCCAGGAGGAGGTCTGACTGTATATATTTTATTTATGCATAAATATGCAATGCTCGTAAGAGAGAAGAATTCAGCATAACAGATATATTACACGCAGTAAAATGAATAACAAAAACAAACACTCAAGACGACGAAGCAAATCCAGTATTTCCGTGGAATTTAACGTCCATTGCCGTAGTATTAGAAACTCTTTGTTGCTGTTGTTGTCGATGAAACACGTTAGAATCATTGTGAGTTGATGATGTATGACGAGTTGGTGTGTTGTTGTGAATATCGTCACTGATGTTATGAAGTGACAAGAGATTAATTTGTGAATCAATAGCATCAAGAAAGGCTTGCTCCCAATAACCCATCTCATAATCCACTAATCCATATCTTTCCAATACGTCCGCCCAAGATACCACGGATTCACGGAGTTTATATAAATATTCTTTTCCGATACGCTGTGGTGGCTGCTGTTGTTGTTCTTGAGATGGCAAAGATTGTGATTGTTGTTGGTGATGTTTTGAATAGTTTTTGTTTACTTGCGATATTGCATATAACCAACAGTCGTTCAATTTTTTCCAGAATCCCTCTCGATCGATTGAAAAACTTTCATCTGATGTTAATCCTTTTTTTTTCATTTTGATGACAATACGAAAAAAAAAAAAAAAACAATTAATCAGAATAAAAGACACGTTAATTGATTAACAAATATTTACCGAATCGCTCGCAATTAGTCACCACATTAGATGTGATACTAGAGAGCAAATTAAATGCGTCAAACATTTCATCACGCTTAGCAAAATCAATCACGCGCTTAAAGGCCTCTTGTATTTCCTCGAATGATAACAAGGGTTGCTGCTGTGGTGGTGGTGAATGTGGTAATGCAACAACGAGTGAAGTTAACGAAGGAGAGGCAGAAGAGGAGGATGGAGGTGGATACTGCAGAATTTGCCGCGAGTTAAAAGACGGTGACGGATTCAGTGACAGAATTGTTGGTGGATGACTTAATTGTTGTTGTGGTGGTTCTTGACGTGATAATAGTGTTTGTGGTCGAGCAAACGCGTTTGACTCATTACTATTGTTATAGTTTTTCTCTTGGGTATTATTACATGGTGGAGTTAAAGATTTATTATTGTTATCATTATTATCTACATTGTGACTACTACTACTACTACTACTGCTACTGCTACTGCTACTCTTTGTGGATGTTGATTGAGTGGGAGATTGTAGCGATTCATTTATGTCCTTCGTATAGTGGTTTTGTTCATTTCCAGCAAGGTTTCTTTTATTGTTTTTATCAATGTTGTTCTCGAGCCTGTCATCGGCTGCCGTTTCAGGAGTAGCAGTAATGGTCGAGCTAGTTGTTGGTGTTATGATAGTATTGTTCTGCTGATTAGAACTGACCGGAGTTTGAAAAGGATCTTGAATCATGTTGGCTTAGTTTCTAACTTGATAAACGTCGTTGTCACGTCACTAAAGACCAATAACAGTTTTTTCTTTGGTCGAAATGACATGCATGCGATAAATTTGATTATGTATGTATTTTGCGGAGTTCCAATTGGCTGATCTTAAATTAAAAAGCAACACATCGATATACAGTGACATCTCACGCGTGTAAAAAAAAAAACGCGTCTATTAACTCACCGAACCATTTTGTGTATGGATAAATCCACTAAAAGCAATAATAAGCTTACGTTTTTTCTTGACGAGAGGACAAGAAATTTAAATTTTTACATTCATTTAACAAGGGACAATCGAAGATCTCAAATTAATAAAGATAATAAATGATAATAATAAACATAAACCAACTATTACCACTACCAAATCAAAAATTTTAATATATAACGATGATGATGATGATAATAATAATAATATTTACTATTTCAATCTTTCCTTCAACCCTTCAGTCAATAACAAGCGGCGGTGAACTTTCACTATTGAAAGGTGCTTTCCCAATTGCAACTGTTTGATATTTTTCACAATCATCCAGTATCCTCTCTTCACGATCTTTATGATTATTACTACTGTCATTAATGTTATCATGTGACCCCCCTCCACCACCTCCTCCTCCGACAACTGTTGATGACGGGTCGCGTTTGACTAAACGTTCATACGCCTCACTTAATTGTTGTTCCAATTGTCTGACTCGCGCATCTTTCTCGAGACTTTTCTCACGTAACGACGATTTCTCGCTTTCTAAGACTGCGACTCGAGTTTGTAATCGCGAATTCTCGGATTTTAATTCAGCAATTTCTTGCTCGAGTGATTCCATTCGTTGTGCTTTCCGCAATCGAGATCTGCGCGCGGCTTCTGTATTTTTCATACGTTTTATCGCGATCTCATCTTCAATCGACATTGGTACCAAGTCCTCGGAAATTGCGGTGGATGAACGTTTTCGTCCACGATTGCTGGTGGCAGTAGTGCCGTTAAAACCATTAATGCTATTGTTGTTTTTGTTACTATTGTGATGATTATTATTGTGATTATTCTTGTGGTTAATAACCATGTGCATATGATTCGCTGCGGACCCAACATTTTGTACTGTGATGATTGAACTTTCATTGGGCACTGAACTTGTGGCTATAATTGACGCGGTAGATGCTTCCAATGCGACTGGCGAAGTAGCAATGAAAGAAAGTGCCAACTTTGATGAATTTAATGCCGTTGGATTCATGGGCTGTTGATGTTTTCCATTGATAGTCGTAGAGGTCTGATTAATGATTGATTTATCGGCACCGTTTGTGGCAGTGGTGGTGACAGCATTGGTAGCATTATCGGTGAAATTTGCCATATGCGGTGGACTATTGGTCGTCTTAAACATTATCGGTGCGGGAGTCGAAGCTGTATGATTTGTCGACATTGGCAAAGACCGTCCTGATGAGGAAGAGGAGGAATTGGTATTACTATTACTATTTTCAGACAAATGGTGATGACTAGTAGTACCAGAATGAGGTGAGTTCGCCGTCGTCATTGCAGCAATTGCGGCAAGTGCAGCGAGATTTGACGAAGTATCGTTCGGACTATTACTATTATTACTATTGTCAAGAGCTGCCGCTGCCGCCGCTACTGCTGCCGCTGCTACTGCTGCTTTCTCTTTGTTTGTGTTCGTCGTGATGGTTGTAGCATTATCAATATTCTGTTGCTGTTGTTGAGTTTCAAGATGCTTTGTTTGATTCGTCGACGATGACGACTTTTTTTTTGAGAGAGAGTTACTTGCTCTTTTTGCTGCGGTAATCATTTCTTTGCTTTTTGGTTTGGACAAAATATACAATCCTCTTTTGCTTTCGTTCTTTTACTATCAATTACTATATGGTAATAGAGAGAATTTTGTTAACATTGATGGTGACTAGAAATACAGAAATGTTCTTTGGTATATACGAGAAAGTAAAAGACAAAACAGGAAAGAGTTGATTGATGCAAGTATGCCAGATACACGTAGGGATAATAGAGAAAGTAAGAAAAAAGAACACCGACAACTGAGTTTTTATATCCTACAAAGGCTCCGCTGACTTGTTACTGCTAGAGGGTGGTGATGGCGAGCTAAAAGGTTCGAGTTCGTCTGTTGAGTTGTCTTTCCGCCGGATGTTTACCAGAAATGACTTATTTCCCAACTTGCTGATTGGCTTAACACAAAGAACACATCAAATATCGATATGCGATGATGACTCACTTACACACACATCAAGTCACACACATCATAATGAAATGACTCTTTTTGATTCTAATTGGTAACACATCAATTATAATCAATACTAAGTATTACTAAGTAAAGTTACTATTTCCTGCATGAAGATGTCTTATGACAAGATCATGGTCATGGCTAAGCCTGAAGGAATATTCCTCGGGCATCATTGACATCTATATTGCAATTCTTGCATTTATACATTTCTGATCCTTCAATATTTTGAATATTTCCACACTAACTATATGTCTTTGACGTGTAAGTCTCATTTTGAATTATCACATGGATTCCTTTCTTTTTTGCTTTTGAAATCAATTGCTGTCGAAACTTGTAATGAAATCAACCAGTTATTTTTCTAACCGTTTTTCTTGTTATCTTTCATATTTTTCTGTTTATCATGTTTGAATTTTTGAAAAAGAGAATAACAATTATGTCAAATTCCTCAGTCAAAAACTTGATGAATTTCATCCTGCAATTATTTGATTTTTAGTTACATACAAAAGACAGCTTTGTCAACTTGCAATGTGATATCATTGTCTTTTTTCAATATGAGATTATCCATGTGTTTACATAAACAAAAAATACGTCCTATATTATATTCTCATATCTTTTATTGAAAAATACCATGTGAACTTCTAGATCAATTGAAACTACATGAACTTCTGCTTGTATTTTACAGATCTGTTTCTGTATTTTGTATACTCAATAAAAATATTCATTCATTTATCTTATGTATATATAAGTTTACAATTACAATCTATCTTTTGCAATGATCATTTATTATACTTTTTCTTTGTTTAAAAATGAAATGGATGCAAATTATGTCGTGGTATCTAATCAGTTAGTTTTCCGAGAAAATATCATCTATCTAACATTTTTTCGTTTTTTAATCCATGCATGCGACGATTGTGTTTGTTTCTTGCTTATCGTTATGCTTAAATTAACAATCGCATCATTATTAGCTTGTGAGATTTGCGGTCGATATATGAAAAAAAAAATGCTTTCTTTTTATGGTTTAATCTATTGTCCAATTGTAAAATGATCGATCGCCGCAGTCTGCCAGAAATCAAATTGTAAAAATAATGGAAGTGGGTGACAGCCAAAAATGTAGTAACGGTAACAGATTTAGCATAAATAAAGTGATATTATTGGATATATATATATATATCCGGAATTCACTCGAGTCGACTTCCAAAATCACGCAAACCAAGTGGATTTCGAATAATTTAAAAAGATTATCATCTGATTTTCCATGATTCAAAAATTAATTTTATGGAAGTTAAACGTTCCTCATATAATAAGCTGATCGAGCTTTTGCAAAAAGACGCAAAAATTCAAAAGCCCATTAAAAGAAGAAAGCTAGCAAAAGACACATATTCTGTAGATAAATCTTTATTTCAGCAGGAAGAATATTCGGCAAATAAAGAGACTGCTAAGACTTCTATTGTTCATACAGAGGAAGTGAAAAAGGCAAAACCAGAAGAAATTTCCTTGAAAACAGAAAATAATAAATTAAGTAATTCTGATTCCGAAGAAGAGGAAGATTATCAAGGTCAAAATCGGATGCATAATGTGAATATTTATTTTTATTGGATCAAGAAATCTAATAGATCCATTAATCAATCAACAATGTCCTGTTAATAGATAATTACGAGCAACATTATGGCGATCACGATCCAAATTCTTTAAAGAATCTGATTTCAATTGTGGAGACTAAAGCATGGAATGTGACAAACTATGAAGATCCATCTTTAAAATTAGTATCAAAAAGTATGACGAACGATGATTGTAAAGAATCCCCAATAATAACTCATCTTAATCCATCTAAGGTATAACTTATTACATGTATCGTTTTCTTATTTTATTTTTTAATATTAGAATTTATTGACGTGTATCAATTGCTTGTAATAAAACTTCAAAGATCAAGAAACGAATATTCGAATCTTGGACAAAACTTGGTAATACTATTTATTTTATGTAGCAACCGTAAAGTTATCTTATATATTTGTTATTTTAAATAGACGAAAATGGTGAATATTTGACTGAGCTGCAGTCGGGTTTTCTCCATCAATTTTTACAATATCGTGATATTCTCTATACGAATCGGAACATTAAAGATGCTCGTGAAATCAGACATATATACGCATTGCATGTGTTAAATCATGTCTTCATGTATGTTATACTTGTACGTTGAAAATCTTATACAATCTCAACATTACTGATTAATTTGGAATGAGAATATAGTGGACGAGATCACATAATCAAAAACAACGCAAAAATTGCACGTGCTCAAGCAACAAACAAAGAAATAAAGTAAGTGTTTTTTTTTAAGTCGAGAACTAATGCAGGTTCTTTTAAAGGATTAAATAATTATATATGACTAGTGAAATTCGTGATCAAGGATTCACAAGGCCCAAAGTTTTGATTCTATTGCCTTTTAAAAATTCGGCATTAGATTTAGTCAAAATATTAATTACTTTATCAGGGTCTCAGCAACAGGTAATATTCAGTTTCAGCTAATAATAATTGAATATTGACATAAACATTTATTTGATCTATTGAAATTGCTTTTTTTAGGAAAACCGTAAAAGATTTTTTGAGGAGTTTGATATCCCAAAGGAAGAGGAAACTATAAACCCTAATAAGCCAGGTATTATCTAAACTGGTTTTGAATCTTTAAATTATTAGCAAAAATTAACTTAAATTCTATTTCTATTTCAGCCGATTTTTTAGCAACTTTTCAAGGAAATATAGATGATTCCTTTCGAATTGGTATAAAATTTACTCGCAAGACAATGAAATTATATGCTGATTTTTATTCGGCCGATATTATTATCGCTTCACCTTTGGGTCTAAGAATTATAATTGGGGCTGAAGGGTAAGATAATCTCATAAAATAAAAATGCAGATACTCAATATACTAATATAGATATCATAACTCTTTATTCCAGTGACAAGAAACGAGATTTTGACTTCTTATCTTCGATCGAGTTGCTTATTATCGATCAATGTGATACTTTGTTAATGCAAAACTGGGATCACGTTGAGGTGTGTAAACCATCAACAAGTTAAGATTCGTAATGCTAAAACTTGTTCCTAGTAACTTTTCTTCCATTTATAGCACATTTTTGATCATCTCAATTTGATTCCGAAAGAACATCATGACTGTGATTTTGCTCGTGTAAAGAATTGGTATCTGGATGGCAAGTAAGTTTTAATTTTAAGAATTTGTGACCTATACTTTTACCACTTTACTTATTCAATAATTTTAATGACTTATATTATTATAGTGCAAAATATCTTCGGCAAACTCTGCTTTTTGCCGACTATTTGACGCCTGAAATGAACGCATTATATAATACATATCTTTTTAATATAGCCGGTAAATTAAAAATAAAACATCTACATCAAGGCTCGATATTAGATGTAATTCCTCAAGTTCAACAGGTAAACAATCGAAAATCTATTTTGAAATACATAAAAGGAGCTTATAAATGAATTATTTGGCACATGAACATTTCGTTGAAATTAAGATTTTTATCCGCATCGAATCCTCTTCTTTGCTTGATGCTGGTGATGCACGATTCAAATACTTTACTGAAAAGGTAAGCATTTGTTAGTTCTTTGCATTATAATACGTTTTCAATCTTCTTATATACTTTAATTGCGTAAATAGACACTTCCATCTCTGCGTAAATCAGCGATTATAAATCAAGCTCACACTATGATATTCATATCTTCTTATTTTGATTTTGTACGTTTACGTAATTACTTTGAGGATAATGCGTATTCATTTGCCAGTCTATGCGAGTAAGTAATAATTGATAAATTTTTGCCATGAAATTATACTTAACCTCGATTATTGTTTCATATTATTACAGATATACTCCTAGTCCTGATGTTAAACGCGCGCGAGCACATTTCTCTAATGGAAAGCGAGATTTTTTGCTCTATACGGAACGGTTACATTTTTTCAGAAGGTTGCTATAATTTAATTTTTTTTGATTTATTTTAAATAAAAAAAATTAATTTTGATCCTTTTATATAAGGTACCAAATTCGCGGTGTTCGACATATTGTATTTTATGATTTACCAGATCATCCACATTTTTATTCTGAACTTTTAAATTTGTTATCAACTACTATGGGAGGTTCAACTTCAAAATCAATGGCATCTGACATGCTGACCGATGATAATTTATTCTCTTGCCAAATATTATTTTCAAAGTATGATCATTTGAAATTGGAGCGGATTGTAGGCAGTAATCGTGTGAACAGGATGCTGAATGCTAATAAAAACATTTTCATACTTTCTTGATTTTAATATGAAATAAATGGAAATTACTTCATTTAATTTGTCAAATAAGTCTTATGAAATCGGCTTGGTTGTCAATTTAGGCTGTCTAATTGATACAAAGCACGGTTCGTAATATTTGATTGGCTGATTGGAATGGGATTGCTTCATGGTGCAAATCTTTTACTATAAGAATGGCTTTATGCAACTTCACTTGATAATTATGCTGAATTTTTTTATAACTCGAGCTAAAATTAAAAAATTGAAAATCGCTCGGTATAATAATTTGCTGATCTTCACGATTTTTTATATTTACGCGTCTAAACGATTTGATCCTATCCTACAATAAAAAAACATGTCAAACTTAGTAAAGAATAAAAAGAATGAAGAAAACAACAAGCATCTATCCGAGTATGAAGTAAGGAGACTAGAAAACCTCGCGTCGAACCAAAAGATGCTTCAAGCTTTAGGCCTTGACAAGCCTCCGTCGTTTGCCTTTCCTGTTCCCACAAAGTCCTCCGCGTTGGTCAAGAGTAAACGTAAAGCGCCGTTCAAACCGTCAGTTATTGCAGCTAGACGCTCACAACGGCAGTGTGTTGTACGCAAGACTGCGGAACTTGATTCTGCTTCGAGAAGGAGGTCGGAAAGAGTTGCGAGTAGGGTGAGCTAAAGAATATATATAGTTATCTAACGTGAAAGCATGAGAAAAATTACACTTTATTATTTATGATTTGTTTGGTAGGCGTTAAAATCTAGACAATTTCGGCAAATAATACCCAAGCTCTCTTACATTCTTCGAGGAAAAAGAAGAACACTGTAGTCCACCCTCGTTAATATGGTTAATATGACGTCATCGGGACAATCATAATAACGAATATGTCATAAATATAAACTATTATAATAACATATAATGCATGTTAACATTAATATGATGTCATAATAAATGGAGAAAAAATTAAATTGATAGAGATTCTTGGTCAAATGCCATACTAACGAGTCTATGACATGTCATATCAACAAGAGCAAAAAAACACTCGTTTGGATGGAACAGTTTGATCATACTAATGCGAATGTCATAGTCATATTAACGAGGGTGCACTGTATTAGTAGAAAAGGGGGTGAGGGTACTATTTGCCGAGCCACTTCCTGAAGCTTTGAAAATCTTTTCCATGAACTCTATTTTGTTGCATACCCAATTTCTACAAATTCAACGATCTTATTCTGCTATAAATACAGCCTAGTCAAAACTCGTTAAATGACGATCACAGCGACGACGAAGATTACTACGATGACGACGAGTCAACATACAAAAGAAAAGTCGATCCTAAGGATCGTAATCCACAAGTTTTCGGACACATTCCAGGTATCGAAATCGGTACCACATGGAAAATGAGGATGCACTGTAGTCAAGACGGCGTTCACGCACCCACGGTCGCTGGAATCAGCGGTAATCAACAAGAAGGCGCGTATAGTATTGCATTATCTGGGGGTTATGAAGATGATATCGATTGGGGCGAGGCCTTCACGTACACTGGATGTGGTGGTCGTGATTTGAAAGGATCTCGGGCTAATCCGAAAAATCTGCGAACAGCCAAACAGTCTAAAGATCAGACAATGGAGGGTTTGAATCTCGCGCTTAAAGTCTCTTGTGATACTGGAAGACCTGTTAGGGTTATTCGTGGGTACAAATTAAATTCGCCATATGCTCCCGTATCCGGATATCGCTATGATGGTTTGTATCGTGTGGAAAAGTGCTGGGAGGATAGAGGGCTGAGCGGATTTCAGGTCGTTAAGTTTGCGTTTGTGAGGTTGCCGAAACAACCTCCTATCGAGATCCGAGTTAATTATGATGCTGAGGATGAGGAAACAGAAGATGAACATAATTCTGTCCGAGATGACGATGAGACGGAGGAAACTGATAATAAAATCAAGAAGAGTGAGAAATCTAGTAATATCAATCATAATAATCTTTCATAAATTTAATCAGAAACATGATGTTCATTCACTTTTATATAAATATCACAAAAGAAAAAAAAACTTAAATTTGTAAATAACGATACTACATAAAAATATTAAATAAAACTCGGATATTTCTTTATTATTCCGTTTTTTCATGTACACATAATTTTACTAATTATCTTTCATCTATCTTGATCAAATAAAGAGTTGAGATAAACTTCTATCTAATTATCAATCTATCATGAAAAAGTTCTTTATAATTGAGTTATTAATATCGAATTCGAAATCGTAATTTTTATATACAGGCTGCAGAAAATAAGTACATTCGTCGCAGAATCGTAAGAGGTCAAGTCCATGCAAGAAAAGTCCAAATACATACATTGTAACTTTTGAAACAAGGACATCATAAAATACAAAAACAAAAACACCTCATTTATTATACATTTGTAACAAACATTTATTATATATTTGTTACAAAGATATATACAAATATATATATATATATAAACAAGTTGTTTTTTTACAAGACCGAAAAAGAATTCGTACCACTCCTCGTTAGTCTATCTTTGATCTACGTGACGATCTCGTCACTCTTGTTTCCAACCCTATGAATCCATTCATTTGTTTCTCTTCCCATTCGCGCAAGATACTTCGATCTACTGTGGCAACTATCAAAAAAGAATAAAAATCATCCCAAAACAGTTCATTAAAAAAAACGGTATCACAATATTCCTTCAAACAAAAAATCTCACCAAAATATTTTCCTTCACTAGCGCTCCACGACACCCATCCTTTTCCGTATGGATGCTCATCCACTCGCAATATATTTGCGATATCTCCCGAGTTCCACCCATTTATTTTATGTCGCCCCAATCGAAACGACTTCAACGACACAATTTGCCCACGGTCTTCTAGCTGTAGAAACAGCTGGAGTAGACTCAATCGTGTTTCTTCCTCGAACATGAAATTATTTACTAATACAACAACTTTTTGATTTTTTGAGAGGATCGCGTTTATCGGAGGACAATTTAGAAAATCGGCATGATATACTGTGACTTCGCCATGGGGAACTTCATATCGTCTAGATGTATAAATTACAGAATCAATTTGGGTTTTTTTGGTATAATAGTGCTGAATAAATGTTATCAATAATATTTACCGCATTTTATTACGAAATTCATCTAGCTGGTTGATTGCCATTTCATATCGTTCTCGATTAAATTCTATACCGTAGACAGAGCAACCTGCCTCCGCAGCAACTTGCAAGATCACATTACCGACACCACATCCAAAGTCCAGGAATATAGAGTTTTGTGTCAATGCTGTTTTCTGAATTATATCATGAATCAGATTCCGTTTTAGTTCGCCATACACCTGAGGACTCCAAGCTGAAAAAAAATGATAAAGTAAAAACTATGACAATTCTATATATTAAGTAATTAAAGCATTAACGCCAGATAGTACGCAAAATTAAACCCACGCTTATACGTTTCGAGAACATCAATATTCGGTGTAACGGTACGTTTATACACTGCACTTAATATTTTGTACACCAATTTTCGATCATTGGCAAAGGGCACACGTTCTCGTTTCGATGCATTATCATAATCATCGTTACCAGAGAATCCATTGCTGTCTTCATCAGTCATGTCTTCTATCCTACTCGCGGGTATGCAATAAAAATCTAATATACCTTTCTCTTTTTTCTGTACAGGATCAGAAGATTTCTTAGGCTTTGATAATGAAGACGAAGATGACGTGGCATCATGTGTACTTGAAATGTTGTTATTATTTTTATTATTTTTATTATTATTATTGTTATTAGATTTACGTAATTTTTTGGCATGTTTTTTTTGAGTGGAATTGAATAATGCAGCTTGTACTTCCTGAGGTTGCTGCAGTAGCGAGTTTTTACTCGTGTTCATTTGTGATTTCGGTTGTTGCTGTAGTTGTGCTTTACTAAAAGAAGACGCGACTGCCACTTGCTCTATTTCTTCTTCGGACGTGGTTGTTTCTACGCGTCGTTTGATATCTTCATCTAAATCAAATTTAACTCGTTTAGGAGAAGAACAGTGACCGGTAGTTTGTGCGGGTGCATCAACGGTTAAGCAGTACCGTCTTTTTATTTGATCCATTTTTTTTATTCTTTCTAATGTTACTCATAAAAAGAGAACTCTAGGACAAGAGCTATTATTACTACTACACACCGATAATAATATTGGTCAATATATGCTTGACCTCCTCTATCTCTCTAAAAGACCCTCTGTTGGGTACTTACTAGGTAGCAGTAGTGATACAAGTGTTTGGTGGTGGTGGTGGTATATACACTCTAAAATCATCAGTTATTTATTATTATTACCTATTATCGACCAAACATCATATAATTTCTCACTCGTGTTAAACTTTTTTTTTATATGTAGATTCTCTTTTCACGTGACGGTTTATTGATTGTTCAGGTAAACTCTTGTAGATATCGATTCAACTACACACTATTGTTAGTATTGTTTGTTGGTACGCGAAATATAGAGCATAAGATGTCATAATTTATTCAACAGGTAATAACTTCTTTTTTTGTCTTAGTGTCAAACGAATTCGTCACTTCTGGGTACTGCGTTTCTTAATTTGCTTTATCTACAATAGATATATAGACTTTTTAGTTACGCAATTTGTTAAAATTTTGACGCATACATACCCTTAATTTTTCAAAAAATCTTTATCTTTTGAAGTTTTAACATAGGAAGTGAATAGTTCACCAAAAAATGTCAAACACCCTCCCCTCGTCCAAAAAATCCATCTCGTCGTCGACACTTTACAAAAAATTAAATCAATTCGATGATGATAATAATAATAGTGAAGCTGATCTCTTAGATGATAACGATCTTTACCATCAAGACTTGTTAGGAGAACATCCCGATAATAATAATGAATCGTTACCTAAGAATTTAAGTAATAGTAATAATAATAATAATAACAATAACAATAACAATGGTAACATGTCATTAAATGGGAGTAGTGGGGAAGAACGTGTCTTTATTGACGTTCTTGGTAGGGAAATTATTTTTTTTTGTTGTTGTCTATTCGTTTGGTTTATTCGCGTTATAAATATAAGAAAAAAAATTTATCTAACATTCATCTCTCGATCTTTGAATATTATGATTATCATTATTTGACGCAATCAATACAACGCAGAGAACCAAAACACGAAATTATCATTATCGTCTTCCAACCAGAAAATTTATCTGGAGGAAGAAGATCTTCATGTATGTCACATCAAAATCTACTGTGCAGTGTAAGGCTTACTTAATAAACAAATTTTAATGGAATTTATGTTTGCATTGCTCTTTATCACAATTATCACAATCACCACACCCTCAATCCATCCACTTCCTTATCCAACAATCGCAGCTTACTTTAGTGGGCTACCATTTTCATCGTGTTCGGCTATACATTTATTATTTATTTTGTTTTTTATCGGGTGGCATGTTGTATCTTCTAACTCGATGGCTGCCAAAATTATGGATTTGGTGGGTCGGTAACGCGTGTGAAATGAAAAAAGCCGAATGGTTGCTTGTGGAGGTAATTTTAACTTTTTAACCGTGGGCTATATCACGTGATATTAGATAAATAATTAACGTTAATACGGAGATTTATAGAATCAATGGGGTGAAATTGCAATTGAAAAGATCCAAAGGAAATTTTATGGAGGCACAGTGACTTCAATATTTCCATTGGACCTACTCGAAGAGTCAGATATTGCGAAATTGGGTTCTCATATAGCTGACGAAACTTTACATCATATGCATTGCTTTGATCACCGACATCTTAGATTTATATTTCATCCGTGGCTGGGAAAGTTTCTTCAACATGGGTGAGTATATAGAATGATAGTAATGCATTATTTAATTTACAAATCCCTTTATTCTGCATGCATTAGAGGTTAAAGGTTATATATCCTTTTTTAAAAAATTGCAACTGAAAGGTATTGGAAAGATCCGTCATGGACCAATTTCAAGTCACTGAAAACGGGAATCTCGCGTGAAATTCATAATGAACGAGAAGTAATCTTTGGAAAAAATTTGATAGATATTGAAGGAAAATCGACCTCCCAACTGTTATTCGATGAGGTTTATTTCCACTTCTTTTTTTTCTGGCTTAAATTTTTTGTGCAAATTAAATGAACCAATAAATAAATAATCGATAATTTAGGTGTTACACCCTTTTTACATTTTTCAAGTCTTTTCTATTATTCTCTGGTGTATGGACGAATACTATTATTACGCAATATGCATTTTTATCATTTCTGCTACGAGTGTTACTACTACACTAATTGAAACTAAGCGGGTGAGCGATTGATTACTATTTGTTATTGTTTGAACAGATAGACATTTTTATGATTCGGACTGGGATGGTTGCGTAAATTTTTTGATATAATGTAAATTAACAATTGATTATTATAGACGATAAAAAAACTACGCGAAATGTCAAGATTTGAATGTGATGTGCGTGTGTTTCGTGGTGGATTTTGTAAGTAGTCAAACTTATTATTTTTCTTGTATTTTTTTTAACCTCTTTAATATAATTTGTTTATTGTTACATTATTCATAGGGAGAGTAGTAAGTTCCGAAGAACTAGCACCTGGTGATGTATTTGAAATATCTGATCCAAATCTTCACATTTTCCCGTGTGACGCTCTACTATTGACCGGCGATTGTATAGTCAATGAAAGCATGCTTACTGGTACTTTTGCAAACGATAATTTTTTCTCTCAAAGCTCATTTCGAGACATACACAAACCTAAAAATTTGAATTGTTTATATTTTTTAGGCGAATCAATCCCCGTCTCAAAATTACCCATAACCGACACAGCACTACGTAAGCTAGATTTCTCGTCTCCAAACTTTAGTCCCGACGATTTAAAGTACATTTTATTTTCTGGCACGAAAATTGTTCGTGTGAGAAGAGCAAGGAATGGGAACGGGAGTAATGGAGCTTTTAATAATAGTAGTAGCAACATTGACGCTTCAGCTGAAGATGAAGGGACTGCTTTGGCGATGGCTGTTCGGACAGGTCTTTATGAGTTTTTTGTTTTTGATATATATATGTATTTACGCATTGTCATGGTGTCTAAATTATTTATTTATTGTATACAGGTTTTAATACAACAAAAGGCGCGTTGATTCGTTCAATACTTTTCCCGAAACCGAATAAATTTAAATTTTATCGTGATTCTTTTCGATTTATTGGCGTATTGGGAGGGATTTGTAATGATTTTTTTTTACTTATAAAACTAATTTATTTTTCAAAAAAAAGCCTTGTGATTGTTGATCTTTTTCTTTTGGTTGTAATAACACAGCATTCATCGGCTTCTGTATCAGCACATACAATTTCATTCGAATGGGCGTCACAGCACACATGATAGTTGTCCGTGCGCTGGATCTGATCACTATTGTGGTTCCGCCCGCTCTGCCAGCTACCATGAGTGTTGGGACTAATTTTGCGATTGGAAGGCTCAATAAGGAAGGGATATATTGTATTAGTCCGGCAAGGTAACGACAACACATATTAAAAAATAATTGATGATATACATTTTGAGGGATTAATTCACAAATAATCTAAATACAAATTTATTTCTAGAGTTAATATCGGCGGAAAAATTAATTTAATGTGTTTTGATAAAACGGGGACTCTGACCGAAGATGGATTAGATGTATTGGGTGTGCGTTCTGTAAATCATCAGACTCATAGGTAAATGCTTTAGTCATTTTACGAAATAATAAATTTATTCTTAATTCTATTTTTTTCACTACCATCATTTCCAACTTCACAGATTTTCTGAACTCCATACAACAACCGAAACTTTGTCATCGTCATCACCAAACTCCGTTGAACCCACCACCTCGCACAATCACCAAAAAAACCAAAAAAGCACAATAAAAGAACACCAACAAATCTTATTCGCCATGACAACTTGTCACTCTCTCAAGCTCGTGAATGGCGAATTAATTGGGGACCCGCTCGACTTGAAGATGTTTCAATTTACAAATTGGGTCCTCGAAGAAGGTGGTCAAACTACATCTTCGCGTTCTTCTGTTGTTCTCAGGTCGTCCTCTTCGGATAATTCTTCGACCAGCTCTTTGAATACTACATTAGGTGGCACAAGCGGTATTGTACCTACAGTGGTAAGACCTCCGGGTGGAAGACAATTTAATTTGGCAGATGTGCTTGGAAATGATGATAAGGATCGAGATGAAAAGGTAAATTAGTATAACGCATTTTTTTACTAACTAATGTAAATATTTTTTGGTAACACTTATTTTATATCAAGGCAACACCATTTCTTGAATTGGGGATATTACGCACATTTGAATTTGTTTCTTCGTTACGTCGCATGAGCGTAATTGTTAAACGGTTAAGAAGTCATACTATGGAGGTCTTTGTTAAAGGTGCTCCTGAAGTTATGAAAGAAATATGTAGGGAGGAGACACGTGAGTTTCTCATCCTGCTAAAGAAATAATTAATGTAAACCAATTGGATAAAGATTACATGTGTTGTTTGTTGTTGATAGTTCCTGATGATTACAAAGAACTACTGCATTTCTATACACATCACGGATACCGTGTTATCGCTTGTGCGGCAAGAAGTTTCGAGAATCTTAACTGGATGAAAGCTCAAAAAATTAAAAGGTATTTTTTTAAATATTACTTTTGTTGCATTCTTCTGATTCGAAAAAAAATATTAATGATTTTAAATAATCTCAAAGAGAACAGGTTGAACAAGATTTAGATTTTTTGGGATTTATTATTTTCGAGAATAAACTTAAACCTAGTTCGGCACCGGTAATTGATGTATTGAGAGGGGCAAAGATTCGACAGGTTATGTGCACTGGTCAGTCTTGCTATAATAATAACTATTAATTTTTTTTTAGGTTAATTGATAATTATTATTTGTTATTAGGAGATAACGTCTTGACTGCGGTCAGCGTATCGCGTGAATGTGGAATTGTAAGCAAAAATGCACAAATCTACATTCCAAGATTTATTGAAGGATCCTCTATCACGCCACGAGCAACACTTGCATGGGAAAATCTTGATAATTCACAGGATTTATTGGATCCGCGAACTTTGGAGGTATTTTTTATTGCTAATAATCTATCTTTTATTTTGTACAACAGATACGATTTTGGTTTTAATAATAAGTTAAATAAATACGCTATATATCTTAAAAGCCGATATTGGCTCCTTCTCTTCAGGAAAACTCTGTTGCTCGTGCAGAATACCCACCAAACGATCGTTCTGATTTCAATCTTGCAATTACTGGTGATGTGTTTCGTTGGATGGTTGATTATGGGAATCAAGTCACTTTATTAAGAGTGAGTTCTTGGTATATCTATCTTTTAAGTCTAACTCCTATTCACCCATTTATTTCAATGTTAATAATGATGTTGTATTCTTAGATGTTAATAAGAGGAAGTGTATTTGCACGAATGTCTCCGGACGAAAAACACGAACTCGTTGAGAAATTTCAAGAATTAGAATATTGTGTTGGTTTCTGCGGAGATGGTGCTAATGATTGTGGAGCATTGAAAGCAGCTGATGTTGGGCTTTCATTGTCGGAAGCAGAAGCGTCAGTGGCCGCACCGTTTACTAGTCGGTCTACGGATATTCAATGTGTGTTGCAGGTTATCAGGCAAGTTTTTCTCCTTATACTTTATTTTGCATCCGGTTCAGGTTTTTACAAAAAATTAACTTATGTATTTTTTTTCATTGATTTTTAGGGAAGGACGCGCTGCACTTGTTACTAGTTTCAGTTGTTTCAAGTATATGGCATTGTACAGTATAATTCAGTTTACCACAGTCAGTTTGTTGTATTCATTTGATTCTAATCTTGGGGATTTTCAAGTAGTTTTTCCGTTTTTTATTTTTGGTTTTCAAAATTCTCTGAATAACTTCTTAAATTAATGCATTATGATGTTTTTAATCCAGTTCTTATATATCGATTTATTCCTAATACTACCAATTGCCGTATTAAGTAAGTAATAATATTATATTAAAATTCATTTTTTTTAGATTAATTTATTTATTTGTAAATAGTGGGACGCACTGAACCATACCCACGAATATACCCAAAGAGCCCAACCGCGAGTCTCGTCTCCAAAAAAGTTTTAACCTCGTTGATTGGTCAGATATTAATTCAATCGGGGTTTCAATTTTTTGTGTTCTTCTTAGTTCGCAGACAACCTTGGTATTTATTTTATTTCATTCTTATCCTCTCTCCCATCCCTGTCTACTTTTATTTTTTCTGAATAACTCAATGTGTATTTCTTATGTGATTGTATCTTCTTGCATAAAATAGGTACACACCACCTAAATTTGATCCCGATAGCAAAAATATTTATTGTTTCGAAGACACGGTGTTATTCCTTGTCTCATGTTTTCAATATATTTTGATTGCGGCGGTGTTTAGTGTTGGGCCTCCTTATCGGAAATCGATGGAAACTAACTGTATGCACGAGAATATCTTCTATCTTTTATATCTTCATTGTTACTAACATGATATATTTATGTAAAACGCATAGTCCCCTTCCTTCTCACCGCCACAGTCCTCACACTCCTTACAATATTCCTCGTCATTTACCCACCTGGGTTTGCGCTAAACATACTCGAATTACACGGCGACATCACCTTAAGCTTTCGATGGTTGCTACTAATCATTGCAGCTGCTGACTTTTTCATTTCGTGGATTTGCGAAAAGTATATTTTCCTTAGTATCACTCATGTGTTCGGAAGTATACGGGATGCCGGTTTTTTTAGCAGGGAAAAGAAAATGTATCATGCTTATAAAAAACTTTATAAAAGGGTGGAAGCTGAAATGGGAGTTCGATGACAGTTAAAAATAAAAAATATTAATCGCCTTTCTTTGCACAAATGTGTTATTGAAGCTTGTAAAATACTTGTTTTTCCAATTATCCAAATACCCAGAATTCGTAATTCGATCGGATTATCCTGTTTGTTACAAATGTTAGCAAAAAATTATATACTTGTGAAAAATTAAATCAATAGAGAATCTAATACACAATACCAATTAAACTTTTATTAAATCAATCAATCAAATCTAAATTACAAATTTTATAACATTATCTTATAATTTAATTTGTTAAATATTTTAATTATAAAAATTTATATAAAAAATAAGAATTGATATTTTCTATATTTTTATTGGAAAATAATATTTTTATATAAGCTATTTAAAATATCAATTCAAATAGAATCCGCCAGGGCGACCACCGAAAGTTCGGGCCACGTGACAATTTTTTGATGATGTCAGCAATGATGACCAATTAAATTGCAAAATCAACGTGTAACACAAAAATTTATCTCAAAATCTAGTCTATGAAAAAATGTTCCTTGCGAAATTTTACTATAAAAATATTTTTTGTTTGCCAAATAATCTTGATCCAGAGCCAACCCCTAACCCTTTCTCATTGTTGACGTCATCAAAGAATTGTCACGTGACCCGAACTTTCGGTGATCGCCCTGGCGGATTCATTCAAATATCAGTTCAAATATTAATTTATTTGTTAATTTTATGACAATTTAATATTATTGATTTATTTATAATAAAAAATAAATGAATTAGTAATTAGTATTTCTTTAATATTATTCTTTGATTAATTAGATAATCTTTTGTTTTAATTGCAAAGATATATTATTTGCTGATAATTTCTTATTATTATATAATCTCTTAATATTAATATAAATTTATAACTTTCAAGTATATAATATATTTTATATATACTTTCAAATCAGATAAAAAAGATATTAAAACTATAAGTAAAAGAAATAATATTATTTTTAATAATAAATAATATATATATATATATTTACTTTGTTAAATAACTAGAATAAGCTCAAAAATTTTCTTAGCAAAAATAAATAATTTATAAAGTAAAATAAAACAATTGGTTATAATAATAATCTTGGAAAATAGAATCAGATTGGTTTAGATTGGTCCAAATATCAAGTGTGTAATTTTTTTATTTTTGAATTATAGAATCTAAAATATATAAATTTTAATTGGTTGAAAGCATGCAATAATATAATACATGTGATAAAATTGGATAAAATTATGTGATAATAATAAACTCTTAATTGATTTCTTAATTAAAAATACGTGATAATAATCTTGAGTGAATAAATAAAATATATCATATAGAATTTTATTTTTAAAAGAAAGTTTGAATATTTAAAACACAAAATAAATAACTTTATACTTATTTAATTATGAAATGAGTACAAAAAAATAAATAAAATTTAGTAACAAGCAAGAAAATTTTTTTCATTTGATTCTTAATGCTTTTTATATTAGAGTTATCAAATTTATAAAAACATATTATTTGTGATTTTGTTATTTTTTAGTGCTCAGAAATATATTATAGTATTTTTTTCATCACAAATAAATTAAGAACTATGAGAATTATTAAACAGTATAATATTTTTTATCACAAATACTATCAAAATTATATAAATCATTAAATATTGCAATACAGATATAAATTATACATGAATAAAAACAAAAAGTGCTTTGATAATTTTATATATAAATATTTATTATCTATTTTGATTTTTTTCATGTTGTTACCATTGTGACATGTTATATATTATTTAGTTATTTGTTAACACGTTTATACAAAAGACCAGAAAAGTGAGCATAGCATCATTATCATGAGAAGCTCAACATTAATCTATAATAATGATATTTCTCTCACATGATGATAGTATTTGACAAAGAACAATGATTATTAAGAATCTAATTGATTTTTATTAAGAAATTTTAATTGGTTCT